TAAAGCTTAAAGCTGTTGCAAGGTCCAAGGGCCCTAAAAGCATACTCAATACAAAGAATAAAGACGATCTCTAAATCGTCACATAAGTTTCCATGTTTATTGAGACACCCTGTATTATAAATTTTGTATCTATCAACAGCATGCGATACATCGTATGTTTAAGAAAAGAATTTATTTCTTCAGTTTAAATCCTGAAAATAATCTGAAAGGAAACCTGACAAGTGGAATCCATCCTTTCTAATCCTGTCTCCGAACTTGGATCCAACCCTAGGATTAAACCTGGACCGGGAGGATTAACATAATTGTCATGTTTATAAGATCAAAGAAGAAGAAAAAAAGGAATTTCTATCTTTATTTTCAATCTATATAAAATGTCAAACTCAAATTAACAATATCCGTTCTATTATTCAAATGTAATCCCCTCGACTCCATTAAACATTTATAAATAATATAACTAGATACTCTTAACTTTTTAACAACTTAACAATTTTGAAATATCTCCCAAACATCGGAATATCATTTGAAAAGGGTTCATTAAATATCTTATAAAGATATACCATACCCTACAATCTATTTTTTTTAAATAATCGCCTTACCAACATTTTTTACAGGATCTTGAGTATGATATAACCTACTCCAGTAAACATTTATCCTGGAGCTCTATCATTATCCATCCTATTCCAGTAAATATTTATTCTAGAGCTCTATCATAATCCACCCTTACTCTAGTAAACATTTATCATAATCCATCCTGCTCCAGTAAACATTTATCCTAGAGCTCTATCATTATCCATCCTATTCCAGTAAATATTTATTCTAGAGCTCTATCATAATCCACCCTAACTCCAGTAAACATTTATCATAATCCATCCTGCTCCAATAAACATTTATCCTAGAGGTCTATCATAATCCATCCTACTCCAGTAAACATTAATCCTAGAGCTCTATCATAATCCATCCTACTCCAGTAAATATTTATCCTAGAGCTCTATAATAATTCATCCTACTTCAGTAAACATTAATCCTAGAGGTCTATCATAATCCATCCTACTCCAGTAAACATTAATCCTAGAGGTCTATCATAATCCATCCTACTCCAGTAAACATTAATCCTAGAGCTCTATAATAATCCACCCTTACTCCAGTAAACATTTATCATAATCCATCCTGCTCCAATAAACATTTATCCTGGAGCTCTATCATAATCCACCCTTACTCCAGTAAACATTTATCCTATAGAGCTCTATCATAATCCATCCTACTCCAGTAAACATTTATCCTAGAGCTCTATAATAATCCATCCTACTCAAGTAAACATTTATCCTAGAGCTCTATCATAATTCATCCTACTCCAGTAAACATTAACCCTGGAGCCATAATATGAATCATCCTACTCCAGCAATCCTATCATGGGTGATCCATATTATGCTAGTATAAATTAATCCTGGAGCTAGGAGAGGATCCATCCTACTCCAGTAAAAATTTATCCTGGAGCTTAAGCATGATTCATCCTAGCCCAGTAAACATTAATTATGGAGTTTCAGTATGATCCATCCTACTTCAGTAAACATTTATCCTGGAGGTCTAGTATGATCCATCCTAGCCCAGTAAGCATTAATCCTGGAGCTTCAGTATGATCCATCCAACTCCAGTATACATTAATCCCTGAGCTTTAGTATTATCCATCCTACTCCAGTAAAATTAATCCCGGAGCTCTAGTATGATCCTTTCTTAACCATTAAACATTAACTCTGGAGATCTAGTATGATCCTTTCTAAACCAGTAAGCATTAATCCTGGAGCTTCAGTATCATCCATCCTACCTCAGTATACATTAATCCTGGAGCTCTAGTATCATTCATCCTACTCTAGTGAACATTAATCCTGGAGCTCTAGTATTATCCATCCTACTCTAACATACATTAATGCTAGAGCTCTAGTATGATCCATCTAACTCTATTAAACATTAATCCTGGATCTCTAGTATCATCCATCCTACTCTAGTATACATTAATCTTGGAGCTTCAGTATGATCCATCCTACTCTATTAAACATGAATCCTGGAGCTTCAGTATGATCCATCCTACTCTATTAAACATTAATCCTGGAGCTTCAGTATGATCCATCTTACTTTATTAACATTAATCCTGGAGCTTCAGTATGATCCATCTAACTCTATTTAACATTAATCCTGGAGCTTCAGTATGATCCATCCTACTCTATTAAACATTAATCCTGGAGCTTCAATATGATCCATCTTACTCTATTAAACATTAATCCTGGAGCTTCAGTATGATCCATCCTTCTCTATTAAACGTTAATCCTGGAGTATTTATCCACCCCTCCAGTGTAAACTAATTTATATCAAACAGCATCCTTCCCTGTCCAACAATGTTAATTTTTCACAATTTTGACCTTTTCTAACCTACTAGCTGGTAGCTGTCTTACAGAATCTAAAACTAAATTATGAAATGAGTTGTGACAGCAATATTAGGGAGAACGTGACAGGAAGCTGAAGGGGGTGTGTCGGGCTGGTGTGAATTTTAAGAAATCTGTATAAAATTGCTGACCACGGGACGAAATTTTACGAATTTTTTGGCGAAATTTGCATCAAAACCTAGAATGAAGTAGAACACCTTAATAAGCACAGTTTGAGTTTAGAAGGGGCTGTTAAGATAATTTTAGTTTAGGTATTTCATACAAGAAAAGATTAAATAAATAAAATTAATTAACGCCTATAGGTTTATACCTGCATACATATATAATTGAAAACAGCCAACTCAATGCACAGTGTGTGTAGGTNAGTGTGAATAGTCAAATTTTACAAAGAAAAATCAATTATCTTAACAAAAGATGTTGAATAGATGTGAGTAGGAGGTTATCCAATGATTGATTAAACTTTTTACTTTTCACATTTAGAAAATATATTAACGTGGGAAACATAAAAAATGTACATTTCAAAGGTCTAAACTATCAGGTTGCAGAGATATAGGGATTAGAAAATTAGAGTTGTTGGCTAGTAATACGTTTATTTGTGTAGTGTGTCTTTGCCACTATATTTTTTGATAAATCTTTTATTTGCCGAGTTTTAAATATTTTAATTTCAGTCTCCAAATCTAAAGGTTACACTTTAAAATTTTGTATCCACTCACAACGGATGTTTCTCCTGTGCGTAAAGTGTAATGGCAATGGTTGAATTTTTTCGTTTTCAAAATGTGCTTGTCTTGTTTTTTTGTCTTGTTTGTTATCTAAGTTTGTGTATCTGTTGAAATTGTGTAAAAGTTTCACATTTTTGCTAAACAAGTATGTATTACCGTTGTGTTTTTGGTTTTGTGTTTTTAATCAATATGTAATATCCTTCTGTGAGTAAAGTGAGTGTGTAAGTCTAAGTATTTCTATGTGTAAAGTGTGAGTATGTCCGTGTCTAAAGTGTGAGTATGTCCATGTGTAACGTGTAAGTATGTCCGTGTGTAAAGTGTGAATATGGCCGTGTTTAAAGTGTGAATATGTCCGTGTGTAAAGTGTGAATATGTCCGTGTGTAAAGTGTGAATATGTCCGTGTGTAAAGTGTGAATATGTCCGTGTGTAAAGTGTGAGTATGTCCGTGTGTAAAGTGTGAGTGTGTGTGTCCGTGTAAGGATTACTATATACTCGACGCTGATGCCTGCAACCCCCTCTACGGGGGCGTCGTACGAATTCCTCAGCTCAGCTCAGTTTCCGTGCAGATATCATAGGGATAGGAGCACAGGGTATAGTCACACCCGGAGCACAGTGTATTGTCAAACCAAGAGAACAATATTCACAATCCGTCCTAGAGATAAACAATCATTGTGCATTGTACAGTAGTTTTATTTCTGTACAATATGTACATTGTACAAGTTAAGTTGCAGTGTTGTCAGTGATTAGTGGTTTCTATAAACTTAAGGAAATTCAAGAATTCAATTTATCTCGTAAAATTTCAGATCTATTCTTTAATGCATTTCTTCTAATCTTACATCTACCCTGATACATTTCTTCTAATCTTACATCTACCCTGATACATTTCTTCTAATCTTACATCTAACATGATACATTTCTTTTCATCTTACATCTTCCCTGATACATTTCTTTTAATCTTACATCTACCCTGATACATTTCTTCTAAACTTACATCTACCCTGATACATTTCTTCTAATCTTACATCTACCCTGACACATTTATTCACATCCTACATCACCCCGATACGTTTTTTATAATCTTACATCTACTCTGATACATTTATTTTAATCTTACATCCACCCTGATACATTTAGTCCAATCTTACATCTACCCTGATACATTTCTTCTAAACTTACATCTACCATGATACATTTATTCTAATCTTACATCTACCCTGATACATTTCTTCTAATCTTACATCTACCCTGACACATTTATTCTAATCCTACATCACCCCGATACGTTTTTTATAATCTTACATCTACTCTGATACATTTATTTTAATCTTACATCTACCCTGATACATTTCTTCTAAACTTACATCTACCCTGATACATTTCTTCTAATCTTACATCTACCCTGATACATTTCTTCTAATCTTACCCTAATACATTTTTCTTTTCGAATCTTCCTTTTTTCTGTCCTGTATATGTTTATTGTTTATATTCCATCTTAAATAATCAAACTGAATAAATGGAAGTAAAATTTTCTAAATAAACTCTAAAACTTAAGAAAAGGATTAACATTAAACGAAAATAAATATTTCCTTGAAATAATATTTTTCTTCCATATTTGAATTTTACGGCTGCAGCTGCTTTTAATGAGGTGCAAAACCATATTAAGATGATAAACTTTATAATTTTAAATTTACTTGCATAATTTTACTGTTTTAATTGTTTTTAAACATTAGTTAAATGTTCCAAAGTTCCATTTCCGGTTAAAAAGCAATCCTAATACACGCACTTCCGGCTTTTCCCCCTCTTTTTCCTCTACTGTGACTGCAAGGGTACACATGACACAGGATGGATGATCCGTCCTAGCTCACATAGAGATGAATCTTACTCAGAGAACCACCGTGAAACCTGGCCTACTCGACCTTGTACCCGGAGACACTTACTAACCCCTGAAGAGGATTAGAATGAGGTTCCGGAGCAAATCTAGGCCTTAGATGAGAAACCAGGATAGGCCTGAGAAGGTGTCGTGGTTGGCTAGGCCTGAAACCTGTCAGTGACAAATACAGTTTCTGTTTAAACATTGGAACAAGTTGGTTACTTATCATCCTAACTGCTTCTCTTTATAAACTCCTTATCTAAACCTGGAACTAAGAAATCAAGGAAGAAGAGCAGAAGATATTCTAGACTAAAACTGGTTTTCATCAACTAGTAATGATGTGACTTTTCAGTTGTTCCTGAAACAAGCGTGAATCTAAGTTTGAAAGAGAAAGTAATTAAGGATTCTCTAAACTCCTTGCATTGAGAAACCAGGACTCGGTTGACAGGGTTTACTCCGATTGATCTAGTTTAAACTCCAGGTCTCAGGATGAACTGTATCCATATCCCTGATCAACTGTTGACCAGGGTCCCTAGTATGTCACAGGTATGAAACTATTCTTTACTTCACAAAAAAACTTCCTTCCATACTGTTGCGAGATGAGAGGGGGGGGGGGCGTCAAGGATTCCTTATTGTAATTTATCCTTATAGGAATTATCAAAAATAATCTAAATCACGTTAAATCGATAAACTGTCGGATCTCCGGGTTGTGTTGGTTGTATTGGAACTATCATATATTGATTGGAACCGAAATATATCTATGAATAGCCCAACACATGCTGAGCTCCCCCCCCCCCTCCTATCCCGGGGAGATCCCAGAAAAAATGTAGAAGACGAGATTAAAATGTTTGGCACGGGGTTGGAATTTTTATGACATTTGAATGTCGTTTGAATACATTCGTATATTCGAGACATAGCATCATGTTTTAAATCTTCATGACGGAATTCGACTTAATTTAATCCTCCATTGTTCTAATGACGATATAAAAGTCCGTCCTATAGTAATTATACTTGTCTTTGACCGAATGAAAGATAACATTTCTTGACAAAATTCGTGTGTATAAAAGCAATTATTATTGCTCGTGAGAGAAATGTATTTTAAATCGTACTTTTCTTGCTCCGGACATTTTGCAAAACAGTTTATTGCTGCCTTGACATTGTTGACAATTAGGGTTTTAAAACTTCAATGTTAAATTGTGTGAGCTGCCCCTTTTCTATTTCATAAACATTAATTCTCTGAATTTTAACTTATGCAAAAAATCTGGAAGAAATTTCTAGAATTGGTGAGCTAGCTTGTGCGCGCTTTTTAAGGTTGGGTGTCTTGCACCTTAATTTGCTCAAAATACATAATATTAGAATTGAAAATTCTTTTTCGTAAATTTTGCTAATTTTTATCATGAATCATGAAGTTATAGGAAATTGTTTCTTAAACCACTTACAAACACTGTCATTGTAATTTCAACATTTAGCCTACAATAATGTGGAAGATATTGTCTTATATCTAGCTTGAAAAGTGTTTTATTCTGCCAGCTTCCATCACTGTTTCTCTAGCATAAACCCGCAAATTATTTTCACTAAGAAACCATAATTGAAAATAATCATTTTAAAGTGTGAAAAATCTTATTCATTCCTGATCTTACAAAGCTTTTTTCGTTTATCGGATATTCCTACTTCAAAAATGAAGATGACATGAAATTACATAAACATTCTCATTAATGAATGAATACTTTTGTTTTTATAGATTTGCATGCATACAAGGTGGGTCATATCGTTTCTTTCATTTTATAAAGTCTCTTTTCTGTTTGAAAGATGTCCCGTGTCTGTCCTAATAAAAATTCGTTGTATATTTTTACGCATATTTTATGTGTACTCAGCCATGTCCTTGTAAGGATCCGTTTTTGCGGCTTTCTAATATTTTAAACCTTTGCTGCAGTCTAGCCAATTTTTGGTTTACAATCTGGTTTTTTTTTGTCGTTTCCCAACCGATAATTGTAATATATTATACTACTTAATGGCTGTCATGGAGTATTTGCTTTCTACCAAACCTTCAAGGTTAAGGTTAGAAAACCAGGAAATATTGATTCAATTTATTTCTCTGTTTATATTCAAGGTACAGGAAAAATCATTTCTAACATGAAAAAATACTGTTTTCTTGAAAAGTTTGAAAATGGAAAACGTTTGTTTTTAGGGGCCTAAAAGTTGGTAGCAGGGAATATGATTAGGATTGAAACTGGTTTTGTCATTTGAACATCATACATGCACTGATAGGGTTGTTTCATTTTCTGCATTTGTTTATGTTATCTGCTGTGGGCACATTTTCTGTTTTTGTTTATTTTACATATATTTTTGATTAATATATCTGTTTATATATGTAATACTAGGCTTACAGGGCGCGAAGCGCCCATCTTCTATTTCAATTGGGAACATTTTCTCTTTCCATACATTGTAAAACACAAACAAACAAAAAATTTCGCGGATTTTATAGAAAATTTTTGCGGATTTTCAAAATTTTTAGAAATCGATTATTTTAGAGGGAAATCTTTGAAAATTCGATCATCTATAATCCTTCCCTGCGGTCACGTGATGTCTCACAAAAAATGTGGGCCCGATCGGTTCAGCCGTTTTGACGTTTATAGGACACAGACACCCAGACAGACAAACAGACAGAAAAGCAAATTATATATATATATAGATATGTCAGGTTGAATGTGTTTAAATATTTTATATGTTAGGTTGAATGTATCTGTATTGTGATTGTATATACAGGATACACAGTCGGACAATGATGGTTTGATATAATGATGATCAGTACTGTAAACCTCACCAGGAGATCAGGATACGATCGATTTATCTATTTATATCTAGATCTTCATTCATCCTATCCATCCTATCCATCCTATCCATCCTATCCATCCTATCCATCCTATCCATCCTATCCATCCTATCCATCCTATCCATCCTATCCATCCTATCCATCCTATCCATCCTATCCATCCTATCCATCCTACTGAAAAGAAGACAATTTGTTCGCTAGATTTGATAGTTAGGAGAAGGGTGGAAATTAGTTGATGGGAATTATTTGATCTAATCAATGGTTTGATCAAATTGTGTTTAGTTGTTTGGAACCTATACGAATTGATTGATAGATTAGTTGTGTATATGACTGGTGGTTGAGAAGTATGAATTGTATTCTATTGAAAGCCTGTGCATGGTTGATCTTGAACCCAGAGAATCTTGATTGACATTACCTTCATATTCTAACCTTATCAGATCTCAACAATATCTTAATATCTCACTAACCAACCCCTATTCATAACCAAACTCAGGCTATTTCTAACCAAACTCAGGATATTCCGAACCAAACACAGAATTTTGCATAACCAAACCCTATTCATAACCAAACTCAGATTATTCATAATCTAACTCAGAATATTCATATAACCAAACTCAGAATATTCATATAACCAAACTCAGACTATTGATAACCAAACTCAGATTAATCATCACCAAACTCAGACTACTCATAATCAACCTTAGTTCATAACAAAACTCAATTCATAACCAAACCTAAACTACTCATAACATATTCATTACCAAACTCAGACCACTAATAACCAACCCACCAAACCTATTCACTTCTAGCCCTTACCGATTTAATTCTTTTTTGAAAACCAATCTTTAATTTAGGCCCAAACCTATTCATACTCTAACCAAACCATATTCATGCATAAACTCAAACCCATACAAACCGAACCCCAAACCCATTCATAGTTTATATTCGACCCATTCCTCAGTATATATCCTAAACCCAAGCTAGACTAATTGTTGGATCGATTTCTAGCGTGCGAGCTCCCATCATCTGTAAGCATTCTCTATACAGAGATGCTGGGTGTCCCAAAAAAAGAAAAAAAATCTGGAGAGATCATTCTTTGTTCATTTTTGTTTTGTCCTGAAAAATCTAACTTCGAGAATTCATGATAATTTTTTGCATATTATTTATTTTTGGTTGTTGGGACACCCTGTAGAGTCGGTTCTGTTTTACTCCGATGCTAAGACCATTTGACATATGTCAATTCACTTTCTTCCTCTTCATCTATCCTGGTAATCTTTATATTTATTGTTCTTCTTCGATCTTTTGTCAGCCTGTATTATAAAAATCTTTAATTCTTTTACATAATTTTGTATCTCATCATTCTATTCTTCTATTCATTCCAGGATGGTTCCATGATTAGGACGAGTTGTAAGGATAATAGTTGGTTGTCTTTCCCTTGAAACTTTAGATAAATGATGGTTTAAGGTTGGATCAAAGTATCCTACTAGCTCCATGTATACCTTAGACCTGGCTTAGGAATTATACTAGTTTAATGTATACTCTAGACCTGGCCTGGGTATGGAATCCTATCATCTCTATGTATGGTCTAGACCTATGTATTCCACTATCTCTATGTATGGTCTAGACCCATGTATTCCACTATCTCTATGTATGGTCTAGACCCATGTATTCCACTATCTCTATGTATGGTCTAGACCTATGTATTCCACTATCTCTATGTATGATCTAGACCTATGTATTCCACTATCTATGTATGATCTAGACCTATGTATTCCACTATAGCTATAAATGTTCTAGACCTATGTTTCTCTAGGCATGGTCTAGACCTGAGAAACCCGAACCCTCCTCCTTCTTTGCCGGACAAACCTTATATTTATTTAAGAGTCGTGAGCCCAACGGCTAAAATTTCACACGTACGCATATTTTGCAAAAACTCTGCATTTTTGCGTCAATGCGTACGGTGACCCATCTTGGGGGCTGCGTAGGCATCGTAATGGATATGAGGAGGGGGGGGGGTTGACCCTGAATTTGGCATCATTTATACCAGCCAAACTAACTATTTTTCATCCCCACCTGGTATCCCTCGACCTATATATGCGTAGAGACTAGAGATGCGTATTTAAGCGGAGAAAATAAAATAGAAACGGAAATCATTTACGTTTAGAACAAGACAAGCGAGGATGAAATTTAACGGTTTACAGAAATATGCCTAACGATCACTGGGCGGGTTTATGTTATATAATGGTTATATTGAGGGGTGGGGGGAGGGCATAAATGTGCATACCTCACTCTTCTATTCTTCTCCTCTCCACTACATGCACCCAATATCCTCTCTTTAACGACCCCTGGGCGCGTTATGACTTTCCGTTTTTTAATGAGAACTTTCTCAAGGAACAAAATAATGAGTTCATATTTTTATACTTGAATAAAAACAGTAAAATTATTTTATTGTTAATTCTCCCGATAAACCCGACCTGGAATTGCCGATAAATTATTCTGATTCAAGGTTGCGGATTTGTGCTCAGAGCTAAACCTATCACAGGACAAAGTTGAGGTTTAACCCCCGCCTAGAGAAATCTGAGTTTATCAAATCCGTGGTTCAAGAACGGAGAAAAAGTATCAATCTCAGATGATTGACAGGAGTGATATGAAGAATAGCGCAAAGATATCATTATTCTGTGAAACTGTGTACTAGGTTCAACTCCGCTTCCATATTTTTCCGGGTTGTAGTTTAAGTAGGGAGAAAGGGAAGTAATGCAAGGAAACCATTTCTCTTCTTCTAGATTTGCAATTTTCTCCAACAAGCTCCTGAACTCTAGTAGGATTAGAGGTTAATACGGAAAGTTTTGCCTGAGCAGGGTTCAGGTTGAGGATTAGTTTCTCCAGGACGGATTTGCGCAAGATTCACGAGTCGTGAGCGGTATTGTTTTATGGACAATATGGGGTCTAATTTTTTGTGTTTTAAGGTTTCGTCTTTCGTTTACGGTAATTTCGTTATGAGAGAAAATGATTTATGGTTCAATTGGTTGGTTTGAGAAATCTGGGGATCAAAGCTCTAAGTGCAATCCCCGCAGATTGAAACTTTTTCGTTGTAAAAGGTTTAAAAGGATGAACAGTCGTAAAATGAGATTTTAGAATATATTGGCACACTGATCCTTGCTAACCCATGTTATGTTACTGCACAAAATTGTTTTGCAATAATGTTTTGCACTAATGTGTAGAAACCAATCTTTACACGAGAAGTCGTAAATACCTAGAAAACGATATAAACCCCAGGAAACCCTTTCTCCGGGTTCCTAGTTCACAGTGAAATAATATTTTAAGTATTAAAGAATCGATTGCATGAAACTATAGTTCAGTTTAATGCCTACTATAATCTATAACCATGATGGAGAAGAGAATAATAAATTTTAATTTCTGCATAGATTCAATTGGCTTCATACAATGAAATTGATTTTTTCAAAGATTTGAAACATTTTTTCAATTTCAGATCCTGGAAAGTTTTCCGAGTGTAAACCTGGATTCCCTGCCTGACGTACATGTGCCCCGCCTACCCAATGTTCCCCGCCCACCCCGCCTATCCCTTT